AATATTTTAATCTAAATTGAAGAGACCACAACAAAAAGAGCGCTGCGAGCAGGATTCGAACCTGCGCGGGAAGATCCCATTTGATTTCGAGTCAAACGCCTTAACCACTCGGCCATCACAGCACGCATATTTCTGTACTGTTACTAAATAGCATTATATCGTTTAGAAGAATACAGCAGCTAGTTGGGATTCCATTTTACTAAACAACAACAAACAAGTGAAAACAAGTGAAAAAAGTAGATATAAACTGCAAAAAATTCGTGTGAATTAGTCTGCACACTACTTTAAGAAAATATAAAGTGTTTCGTACATAACGTACACTGATTCTTTTTTGTATCACATATAAAATAAGAATAACAAAAACACATCTTCAATCCTACACGTGTCTACTATATCTGATATAAATAAATGCGGGCTCTATTTCTATATACCAAATATATAAATGCTCACTTTAAAATAACAGAAAAAGCATTTTTTTTGCGTTCTTGTAATTCAAAAGATTACTCACTATATTTAACAAAATTCAGGTATGTGGCGTGAGCCGCGTTGCGAATTTTAAAACTCCTTTGCGTTAATTGATCCTCAGCAGTTTTTGAGCTTGAAGCGAGCCGTGGAACCATGATTATCGACGCATCTGCTAGATTTCTGCAATCCCTACAGTTATTGTCGCGGTGCGAGTCGCGGAAGCGGGAGTAGTGTCGCGAAATAGTGATCGCGATAAGAGGAAACTATGCTGAATTCTTAAGAACCTATGCAGACTTTAGAGTGTTATCGCGAGTTCGCGAGTATACAGGGATCGTGCCGTGACTTCGCGACATCATAGGAAGCGCGACCTGATTGCATATCGCGCAGTGAAACTTAAAAAACAATTTTTCGTGATGAACTCTCTGATGAATGTACTTGAGCCAGGCACTCGGGTTAAGTAATGAGAACAGTACTTGGGGACTTTTTTCAAGTAACTTTCATATCAATTCAGTCGCGTATTTTAAAAGCGTGTTCGATCAAGACCCTTGCGAACACGCTTTTAAAATTCAAATTAAAAAGCTGAAATGATATGACTTGTCAAGCACTTGAGAAAGTACCTGACAAGTAAAATGTAAGTACTTGGCTGACACAATGCAAGTAAATTCATGTCTAAAGCTTCAGTCATATACTTATTTCATTTATCTTCATTTTGTATTTTGCACGTATTCTGTAGCTACACTCTACTTTTCTGCAGCAAACAGATGTACGGCTACTAAGTTTGTTAAACTCAGTAGAAATATATAAGTTTATTTTATAAGTGTATAACGATTGATATGTGATGTTTATATACAAGCGGTAGATGCAAAAGAAAAGGATGAATGGCTTGTCCAAGTACTCGTCTGAAGCAAGATCAAATAAACTCTGGTGAAACTTTAAATTTGAACGTTTACCGAACAAGTTTAAAGTTTGACCAGACTTGAAGTTTGTCCACAACAGATACGTCAGACTTAGAACCGTAGTAAATCTTGATCAAGATCTTGCTCAGATTTGTTGATGTATCTGAACTTGATGTTCTTGAAAATTCTATATCAAGATCTTGATCAAGAACTTTCGAGAAGCCGAATCTTTAAAGAACTTGTGCAGATTTTCACTTTTTGCAAGGCCTGGGAAAGTTGAAGTATGACATGTCAGATACCTGATAGTTATACTGCAAGCAGGTACAAATTGCATGATGTAGACTTGACACTTTTCTTTGGCGTGTTATTTAAAAAATGTTCGAGTCTTCTATTCTGAAATGAATTTCAGTGTTTTTTTCTTAATTAATCGTTATTTATCGTTCGGACGCATTTTTTCTTTTATAGAATACTTGTAGAGGAGTGTTTTTACGTGGGACGTACTTATACGCGTCGAACGGCGCACCCGGATGAAAAAAAAACGCTAGAATAGTAGATCATAGAGCAGGCAGCCCACAATGCAGTATGTTGCAATATATACTACACTATTCAGTGGCAATCTTTCGATCAAAATAAATGAATGATTTTGCGACATCATCATACTAATGAAGCACAACTATTATAAAATAGCAATTTATTTCCGTTCTGTTTGGTTAGACACAGCTTCTCAATAAATATTTCCGCCACATTACAACATATTTCGGTTTACCTTTCAGTTATTTTACTTGTCAATGATGAATACAATATTCACGTCATTATTTTTAGTTTTGTGTTTGGCCATTGTCGGTTATCATACTCGATCATTAGAAACGGAACAATCTTCTATTGCCAAACGCACTCAGCTTCAGTTGGTATGTAGATAGCCTATGACTACATCAAGCATGTCCATTAAATAAATTTCTATTGTTTTTTCTGGTTTCAGGATAGTTCTTCTGAAGAAGCGGCATGGGAGAAAGCATTCGAAGACGCATACAACAGCCTATCTGACAAAGACAAGCAAGAAATTAACGATGCAATCGATGGACTTATTAAAGAATATCTGACCGTTGCGACAAACAAACGTCGTCTATTCGAGGCCAAGCGTAACAACTTAAGACGTATTGAAGATAGTGATAGTGAAAATGCTATTAATAACAATAGACGAAGTCAAAGTGATTTCGAAGATGATGATAATTACAGTGCTAACAACAGACGTCGTCTATTCGCTGAAGCAAGGCGTCTTGCCCAATAACACTGAGCAGATGAATTGAATTTTCCTTTGGAAACTTCTAAAGCAAACTATTTCTATTTTTGTGTTCAACAGCTTTAAAACAAAAAGAAGAAGAACTTCCTTTTATTCCGATCTTTTAATCATATATTTTTTCCATTTGTTCGTTCTTCTTTAAACATAGTTCTGTCTTTTTCTTCATGCTCTGACTACTTATCATTCAAACATTGCTATTACATTAGCTATTGCAGTGGAGTTTCACAC